GCAGCCCTGCAGAGAAGGACTTGGGGGTGTAATCGCAGGGGGGCTGGAACTAGATGATCTTAAGGTCCTTTCCAACCCTAACTGTTCTATGATTCTATGTTCTGAAGGCGAAGAACTTAGTCCTAGAGTCATAGGATCATGGGTTGGAAAGGACCTTAAGATCACTTGGTTCCAACCCCCCTGCCATGGGCAGGACGCCTCATACTAAGCCATGTCGCCCAAGGCTCTGTCCAACCTGGCCTTGAACACTGCCAGGGATGGAGCATTCACAACTTCCTTGGGCAACCTATTCCAGTGCCTCACCACCCTCACTGTAAAGAACTTCCCCTGTTTAAGTTTAAACCCAGTCCCTCTTGTCCTATCACTACAGTCACAACAATAGACAGAATAAGCGGTTTAGATTACTTCCTATTAGACCATACATAATTTGTGATTTTTACTTTTGAGATAAAAGATATTAGAGATGAGGCTGAGGAAACACTCTCTTGTGTAGTTTAGTGATACATCCAAAATACTTTATTGAGGAATTGTGGCTGTTTGTTCCACAGATGATAGAATTTACAGTCAAGAAAATTTGAGGTCCTTTTTGAAAGTTGGATTTTCCCCAATTCTTCCTGCAGATAACAGAAGAACAGAATTTAACTGCTTCTTCAAAACTTCTTCTCTTCAAAACTTTTTTTCAAACTTACTTTCGTACAGTATCATAATTCTAAAACGCTTAAAGAAGATAAGGACTTTGAGTGAGATCCTTTCTGTATTGAAATTCTGGTTTTTAACTCAGTTGATTTCTGTGTGGTGCTCAATAGCCAGGTGTTTCTTTTTCCCCTTTTCTCTTTGTTGAGCAGAGCTTACAAATTGCAGAACTCCTGAAAGAAAAGCAGTGCTGTTCATACATCCAGCTTAACCAAACAGTCTCTGTTGCAAGACTTGTGCTTAACTCCTTCTTTACCCAACTACAGGAAAATTCTTCTAAGAAGTGACTGTTTGGCTTACATTCATTTAACAGTCACGAACACAATTAGTAGCCAATTAAAACTTCCATGGAATTTTAGCTTATTATTCTCCATTCACATCTGATACGAGCAGAGTGTTGAAAGGAAATCTTAGTTCAGCCAGTGATAAACGTAGCTGTGAAACACATAGGTTCATGTTGTACTTTATCTCAGATTCTTCAGCATCATGTAGGGAATATGTATTTCAAATCCCCCTTAGGGAGAAGCAGTACGGTAAGAGTTGTCACGTAAGGTTTAGATCTCTACTCCAAATTAATATAGTTTTGAAATAATCCAAAGATTGTTTTGTGGATTTTTTTTTAAGGTGCTTTTCTGAGAGAAATAACAAATTCCATGGAGGTTCTCATTCTGTAATTTTAAATTGTGAATAATATATTTGTTGATAATTTTGTAATGCTACTTAGATTTGGAACTTGGATTTGTTGTATAAATTTTAGGGTTAGTGTGTGTTAATTTAGCTGTCTGAGATGATAAAGAGCAGGAAATGAAAGTCAGGTTTTTTCTTCAGATCATAAAGGAGTCTCCCCTACTTTCCACACTTGTTCTGAGAGCAATACCTAGTGAACTGTCTTTTTCAGGGCAAAGTGTGAAATTTCTTTGTCCTTAATTTCTAAGAATGATAAATATGAGACTGTAAATGAAACCAGTAAGACTAATAAGAAAAGCTTTCTTTAAACATTTGAAATGGTACGAATTTATGGGTTTTGATTGCAGAGTGATTTATTTGTCTCTTTATCTCCACCACCATAGTCACTCCCTTAGACATGTTTTGAAAGCTCTCAGCGCCTTTTCAGGTCTAAGGGGTTCAGACAAACACTCCCCTGGAAGTGACTGTTTACTTTTTTCTTGCTCACTTTAGCTTCTGTCTTTTGTCTGATCTAAGTTCTACATGTTTTAGTGAACTGAATTTTGGTTTTGCATACAGAAATAAGAGCAATTTATTCTGGTTTTGCTAAAGTTCTCAGTTCTGCCTAATCTGTAAGGTTATCATTTTCCCTTTATATTTCTTTGAGTGAACATGTAGGAGAACTTGGTATTTGAGTGGTGGAAATATAAATAGCTCCTCATTTTCATTACATGGTTATTGCTGTAATATGTAAAATTTCTGAAAGTTAATAATCTAACATTTTGATTGTATTTTTTTTTTCTTGAAGGGCACTATGAGGAGGTGTATGATAACCAGCTTAACTTGGCCTACTATTTCAATGACCCTGAGGACAAATGGTTAAGTAATTATTTTTATGAGCAATGCTTTAACACTGCTAAACTAATAACAACTGATATCAGGAAAAGGGAGGCACAAGCACATGCAAATATGGGCCTCATCAAAGAGGAACAAGGTAAGTCAGTGAAGTCATAAAGCTACATTTTATCAGTATTGAGACAGTAATCTTTGATTTGCAACCACAGAATCATAGAATCATAGAATAGTCAGGGTTGGAAAGGACCTTAAGATCATCTAGTTCCAACCACCCTGCCATAATTTAAAAGAAGTTTAGAAACTGTTGCAATTTTAATTTTTGCAGCTGCAAAGAGGAAGACAGAAAAATCTGTAATTATTCACTGACCTGTTTCCTATGACACTCCATCTACTGTTGAAAGTACTCCGTCAGGTGAAAAACAAAACACAAGTTTAAAGGAAGCATTTGTTTAGTGCAAAGGTTCTTTGGGTTTGACCTTACTTCCTTTTGCTTGTTTTCGATGAGACTTGTAATGCTACCTCAGGACACGGGTGTTTGAATAGGATGGCATCTGTAGTCACACAAACTGGGTTGATTTAAGAGGTATAAATGTGTAATTCAGTTTAATCCTGCCTCCAGTTTACACGTGGATAAAATGGTCTGTATTTTTTGTGTTCTTTTTGAAAACTACCTTTTGGTTCTCCTGACTGAAAAAGGCACCCTGTTTGTTGATACACAACTGCCACATTGGTGTTTACTTCAGATTTCTGTCTTGCCACAAGCTTCATTTCTCCATTCATTAATCTGTATCCTCAAACTGTGAGTCTCTGAAATTAGAAAAGATATTAACAAGCAATTAGAATCATGGAACAACCCAAGCTGGAAGAGATCTCTGGCCTAAGCTTTCATGGGAAAGAGAGCCAAGATAAGATTATTTTAGCACCTTGTCCAATTGCTTCTTGAAAAGCTCCAGTGATGGGGACTCTGCCACATCTCTGGGGAGGCTGTTCCAGTGAAATATTGTTCTCACTGTTAATATTATTTTCTTATATCAAGATTAACCTTGTGTCTATATTTAAAAACATATACATTATTTTTCATGGCAGAGGGTTTTGTGTGTGTATCGTTATAAAAAAATGGTATTTTCCTATATTTGTATAAAATCCCTTCATATTGTGGGAAGAAAAGCACTAAGTGAGCCTCAAGTAACTGAATAAAACCTCTCTTCCAGTTTTGATTCCCAAGCGTAGTGTATGCCTAACCATTGCTTCAAATAGATGTGATTTGTATAGTTATTACAGTTTTATTTTTAAATTAGACTTCGTGGGTTGAAACTATTCCAACCTTGAGCTCAGCTTGTAGCTGGTTTCTCAGATAGAATGGCTTTTCTTAGAGAGTAAGAAGATTCACAGAAATTAAAGTATTTTTTTGGAAGTAGTGTAATTCCTGTAAATATCTGACAGAATGGATGTGCCTTGAAAGATGGCCTAATTTCCCAGCAGAAACCTGGACATAAACCACAAAACCTGCAGCCTTCTCTTCCCACTCCTTCTTCCCTGCCTACTCCCCGCCTTCACACATCCTACCCCCAACCCCAACCCCATTAAAAGATTATTGTCCTGGGTTATTTTTCCCATCTTCTTTAAAAGTTGAAACATCACACTTTTTTTCAGTATGTCCTCATATTTTCTAGACTGCTGGTCATTCACACAGTTTTCCTTTGAACTGTTGCCATATCTTTCTTGCCTGCAACACCCAGAGCTGAATTTGGTTTTAAAATTTAAGTACCTAACAATGACAAATAAAATGTTTGGATTGCTTTTCTTACAAGTTGTGGTTTTATTTGTGTTTTTAAGTACAACATTTACATTCTTTGTTTCATCATAAATTGCATACTCGTATTCAGTTCATGACATTCAGTAATCTCTAAATTCTTTTCTGAAGAACATTAACCAGCTATTCTTTCCTATTCTGAGATGACCAGTTAGTTCTGCCAAAATGCAATATATTGTTTTCTTTTTGCTTGAAGTAGCATCCTATGTTTTGTAGATGGTTTCTAGAAATTGTCAAGCTTGCTTTGAATTCTGAATTGTCCTTCGACATGCTTTCTCTTTTTCCTAGTTTGGCATCATTTGAACATTTTAAAAGCATTTTTTTATCCTGTAATTCAGATCCTTGATGAAAATGCTAAGTAATAAACTGGACCTAGGACAGGCATCTGTGGAACCTCATCAAGTACCTTTTCCATGCTGTAGTTCCACATAAGCAGTTCCAATGAACTACTTATAACCAACATCTATATGGAATTTCCTAACCAGTTTGCACTCACCTAACAATAATTGCAGGTGAACTATGCTTCTCTAATGCTTTACAAGAAATTTATATTATAGGAATTACTATTATTATATAGAAATTATATTTACAGGAAAGTTATACTCGAAGACAGTGAGGAGGAATTTACTAACTTAAATAGAAGATTGGTTTGATGACATTCGCTCTTCATGTATTGGAGTTTGTATTTTGGGAATTCGAAGGATTCCAATGAGTTTTTCCTGATTTTATTGCAATGGTTAAATTAGGAGAATGGTTAAAGAGTGTTCAGGTTACTTATTAGGTTATATGCATACTGACCCCATCAAGGACCCAATGATCAAGAGACCAGCTCCAAGATGCACCGTAGCAGGAGAGGTGGCAGGTACTATCTTGGCAGGCATTGTGGAGGCAGCATGGACCTTGATGGTAGAGAGATCTGCCTCCTCACATCTTCCGAGCCCTGGGCTTTTATTAGTTAAAAAGTGCTGACTTGTCTTGGCTCAGGGGGCCAGCCTGTGCCAAGAGGAGTGGCCTAGTGGCCTATTTGGCACTAGTTTGAGTCTGCATTCTAGAGCGCAGAGGGTCTTTTAGAGGTCGGCAACTTCTGGTTACTTCCTCCCCTTCCCTCTTCTTCATTGCTACCTTAATCCCATTCCAGCGTGTTCGTCACCTCTAAGTGTCCTTGGCTGCCTTTTATGGGCAGCATTTGGCTAAGACAACTGGTAACAACATCCTCTTCTGATGTAAATGATGAATTCAGCACAGCTCGTTTCTTCTTCTTAGCTACAAAGTTACACCTATAAGTCAGGAAAGCTCAGGATGGGCCATCACAGCACATTAGATGTTGTGTCTCTGGACACAGTTGGCTATAATATTATCATGTTTTCTTTAAATGCTTGGGAATAGTCTGTTTGAGTATGTATTTATTCCAGTATTGTTTTGGGAATTTAAGTTAAGCTACATCCAGTTTTCCAGTAGATAAGATAGCACCTGCTTAAAGCCCAGTCAGTCACAACCAAGATATCTCCATTTTGAGTGAAAAATGCTTAATTAGCTTACCTGTCTGATGCTCAGTAGGATAAAATTATTGAAGTTGATGGATTTTTTATTTTTTTTTGTTGCAGCCTTTTCACTTGGTCCTTCAGTTACTAAAAAAATAAATTATGAGAATGTGCATAAAAGCAAACAACCTTATCCTTTTGTAGCTTCAAAGGCTCATACTAAGTGTGACTCACTACTGTTATCCAACCACTGCTAGAAAAAAAATCAGCATTTCCTACTTCTATGATGTTGCTGAATACTTAAATATGTTTAAGCACATTACAAAAACAAATAAGTACAGTTATGAAATACACTTTGAGATGCTCAGAGAAGGGTGAATTTCATTTTCCTGCTGCAAAATGTTAGAAACTTACAGAAGAGAAGTTTATCATTAACATTGGTAGGAAGAGATAAAGCAAAGTGCATTTTCACTGCTCAGGGTAAAGCTCCACTGTATAGTAGGGTCTACCTTTCACAAATGTTTCTTTCCAGAGGGAGAGAGAGGTAAAGAAAATGAAGAGGCTGAGAGTGTAAGCATAGGGTTTGTTTTGAGGGACTACTGAGAAAAAGACAGCAGATGTATTTCATGCACTTTTTATTTTCAGGGTGAAAAATTAAATCACAAGTTCCGATTGAAGAAAAGGTGTAGAAGCAGGAGTTGAGTTGGCATTGTATAAAATTGCATGAGAATCAATGGTGTTATAAGCAAAATTCCAAACATGCTAATTTTAATATTAGAACAGATAGATACAGTTCGTAAATTGGTCATCTTCTTGTTCTGTTATTTGTAATTATGTAATCTGATTATCTTGTGAACTGAATGAGTCAGATTCTCACTTCCTATGGGTGTACATATATAGAGAGAAATACACGTTTAGACAGGTATGTACGCGTTAATGTATACATTAATATGTATGTATTTTTGCCTATATTCCTGGTCTAGTGGGCAGGGGGCTTGGAACTAGAGGCTGGAAGTAGACCTTTAAGGTCCCTTCCAACCCTATTCTATGATTCTATATAAATACAAGGATGTCTCTGTAGGTATGTGAATGATGCCTAATGTTTACATGATACTATCATCTGATCTAAATTATCATATCTATATTAACTGCATTGATTAATAGTGCAGCCAGGAAGACAGGAAAATTTACAAGAACGAAAAGTTAGTCTTTCATTCATATGTGCATCCTTTTAAATGTAAATATCTCGTACCAGTTCTTTTCAGTTCTCTCACCCAACAGTATATTTTTTATTACTTGTGAATGGAAGCTGTCTATATATGCTTAGGACTGATTGCTTGGGAATATGAAGTTAAACATGCACTTGTAAAGATTGTTGTTTGCCTTGGAAGTGAATCAATAAATTTGCTGGGTAATATTTGTGTAATCAAATTTAAAGTTCTTTTTCAGCCTGGTCCCTGTCCTAAAGGCTGGATATAATCTGATGTTCATTAATCTTCAAAGCTAAATATTTGAGGTGTCAGCAGTGTAGACTTCAGTTGTGATATTTGGATGCAGGTGATTATGGCTGTCAATACAGAAGGGAAAGAAAAGACTAATAATTGAGTAGCCTTCTGTAGGCACAAATGGAACATTCAGCTTGAAGCAAACATTGTTTTAATGATATTTCTTTGCAGAATGAGATTTTAACTTCTTTAAAAAAAAACTCTGCTTGTTAAATAAAATCTCTGCTTACAAGTTACCCAACTGAGATGCTGTTCATTGATTACTGTAGGAGAGTTCAGGTTATGATCCTGTTCAATGCATTGTACTCACCCCATAGTTCGCCTTTCTTCAGGGGGCTGA